TCACGAGTTAAATTGACTAGCAATTTAACAAATTTTTGATGCTTATTCGCATCTTCGAAACGATCTTAATAATGATGAATAATATATTAAAATCTGTAAATAATTAATTCTTATTGCGAAAAAATATTACCTCGATCGGGAGTCGAACCCGGATCTCTTGCAATCCGTGCGAGCGTCCTGAGCCTTTTTTTTATATTTTTTATTTTTTTAATAAATTTTACTTTTTATTTTTATTTTTTTAATACTTTTTGAAGTATGTCGATGTGAAAGTTAGATTGAGACATTCTGTATACATATATACATTCGCATGCATGTGTGTACACAGTAATTCTATTAGGTAATTATTACATTATAATCCATATATATTGATTGTGATCTTTAACTTCTGTTATCCGCTGAGGCACAAAGATGGATCTGTTTTGTCTTCTGCAATCTGCGTTACTTTCGAACAGATCACAATATAAAGCACGTAAACGTTCATTGACTCGATGAAATCTGCAGCTTATGCATCTGAATTAAAAAAGACTTAGTTATATCTTTTATTAAAATTATAACATACGCATTATGTATTAGCACATTAACGCTAATTGCGGTAATAAATAATCAGAATTCGGGCTAAATAAGAATTTAATTATTAGGTGTTGAACTTAATTCCTGCCGTTTTTCGTCTCCAAAATTGATTTGTTTCGAAGGGAAGATGAATGAAAACCTTAATCAAAGTAATTTCCTCCATTTTCTTCTTTATTACTAATTAATAATACTTTATTAATAATACTCTGATTAAGGTATTTCCCTTCGAAACAAATCAATTTAGGAGATGAAAAACGGTAGGAATTAAGTTTAACACTTAATATTTACATTTTGTGTTTCAATATAATATTTAATACATATATGAGGAGCAGAATTTTAAAATGTATTTTACTCAAAATTTATAATTTTTAGATAACGAAAAGGAACCCACCTGAACACTACACTGTTAAATATTATAGGGTCAAATTAACACAATGTGAATCGCCACTGCTCCTACTCAATAACATCGTTATTTTTTACTAAAACAATGGTTATATTTGACAATATACAGTATCAATTTAACATTATGTAATGTCAAATTTAATTATCACTTTAGTAAAAAATAACGATATATTTAGTAGGATCAGCGGTGACTCACAATGAGTTAATTTGATCCTATAAAATTTAACAGTGTACTCGCCTTACAGGAAATAACAATTTGTTAATCAGTAAGCTGAGAAATGTTAAACGAAATTGCTAAACAATTGTTAAAAACATTAAACGATGCATTTTAAGGAGGTTTTTACGTTTTAGAGGTAAAAAACATGGATTTTTTTCTGTTTTTTTTTAAACTTAGTCTTAAAAATATCCCATAAAAACGTATTATGGAAGAAACGAAAATTGTTCAAAATAAACGAGATAAAATGACGTGGGGTTTGGGGCCGCTTGATCGATTCAAATAGCGCGCATCAATCAATTGCTATAACCAGCGCTCGCCATTACTTATATTCAACCCTTCGAAACCATTCTAGAACGATTCTATCCAACAAAGCAAAGTTTCGATCCTTTCTGAATTTCACTATCGCTCCTGACGGAAAACGGAGCGGGGCTTGTACTAAAATGTTTCAGAACTTTTATTCGCGTTTTTCTTTATCATATTTCGAATATAGTGACACGATACAAAAAAGACTATTAATCCGATTGACTTTTACTTTTACGGTTATACTCAGAGAACATGTCATTACCACCAAAATTAGAATTAATAGCCTATGTTAATTTTTTCTATTTTTTTGATTGTCAAATAAAAAGAAAAAAAATGAAAAAAATTCGAATTATTATTTCAAACTGCGGAGACGTAGGGTCAATTCAATCGTATAACTGCCTGTCGACATGCGGCGCAGCTCTCTCTTACAACCAGAGATGGAAGTTACTTTTACTGTTAGTTTTAAAGTTACTTTTTTATGACAATTTTACTGTTACTTTTTATGTTACAATTTTACCGTTAGTTTTGCCATTACGTTTTTATGACGACATATGTCAAGATCAAGTTCATTTGAGAAGAAAATTCTGACTATATATTTATTCGATTACATTACTCAACATTAGTACTTTCACAGCGTTTTTTAAAAATGTTCATCTCTTACGAATATTTAATAATAAAAACTAGTGGTTAATTATTTATTTTAAATATCCGTTGCTTAGTATATTTTTAATATTCTCAAGGTATTGTATATACATGTTTTGTACAATACAAACAACATACATATGTTGTCAAGGTCATAGTCATGACTTCCAATCTTTATATGTTACCAAAAGATCTTTATGTTTTTCACACTGTAAAGATTTTGACGCACAATGTCAATAAAAATAGCTTACAAAGTAAATGTATACACATGTATAATACTAACCCAATGATAGCTGCAGAGATCAGAGCACTTAAGGCAATAACATTTGACGGATAGTTTTCCAGAAGTACAGTATACATCACATCAACAATCAAGGTGAAATTTTTGTCAATATTTGTTGGAGAAGATGAGATTCAGCGAGTTACTACCAGTCAATAATTCGCTTATCGAGTCGGTCGCGAACCGATCCGTGTAGACAAACACGAACGCGTGCGGCGCTAACCCGCTACCTGTCTTTCTTGATACGCGCGCTTTTCGTATGCACCTTTTGTTTTTTAAGGCTCGTTTTTTGTTGTTGTTTAGCGTTGTCAAGGTATTTCAATTCAGGTGCCTTTATGTTATACTGAATCAATTTTAAGATAATTTGTGTAAATTCTATTCAAACGTATTGCATTTTTACTCATTAAACCGGTATTAGTCCTTTTACACGGCTTTTAAGGGGCTTTGAGCCCAATTGAGGCTTTTAGCCTATTATTAAAAGTCGCAGTCTTTTTCGTTTATAAAATAGTGAAACTTGTGAATATTCTTTATATTACGGCTTGCAGTCCGTGCATTATTGCCTGTATCACGGCGCGTAGTCCGTCTAGGCTTCCTTCTCAACGGCTAGCAGTCCGTACATTGAGATAACGTGTGATTTTCCTAATTTCCCAGTTCAAAGTTAGATTTCCGTATCAGGATCCTTCCAAATGGATGTCTGTTAATAAATATTCTCGGTGGATGACACAACCTTCAAAGATCAAGAAAATCAATGGAAACGAATGGACAGCGTCCTGTATATAAGGTTCAAATAATTCGTTACTTGTGATCTTCTAATCTTTCTTTTTATTGGTATTAATGTTGCATAATCTAAAAACTAACTTATTATTCTTTTAATATTTTCATTTCAGTGCAACCCGTGGTTTACTCTGTCGAAGAATTAAATTATATTAAGTAGCTATCGAACATTTTGGTCCTTCGAGCCGGATATTTAGTATAGGCAGTTTATTTCACAAAAGAACAATGCGACTGAATCATATAGAGCATCATATTGAGCAACAACTTAATCTTTCGTCAATCATATCGAATTCCTATGATAACCTTATTAAGTATGGCATAGAAAACGTCACTTCTCAGAGAATTAATTTACGCCTCAGTAATCTTAAAGAAAATTGGGACAAATTTCTTGTTCATGATGCCATTACTTTAGCTATTCGTGAATTAGATGAAAATGACAAAATTGTTATTCGCAGTAATTCATATTTCTCTGAAAATTATTTTTCGATAACGAACGAATTTTATTTAGAATCCATCGAGCGAATAAATGCACTTCTAGATCGGGGTAGCGTCCCGGGCACGTCAACAGGAATATCTTCCTCTCCAGCGGTAACCACTTCCCTTTCGTCATCGAGTCTCCCTACGTTTTTCCAGCATGCGAGACTTCCTAGATTAGACTTCCAAAGTTTAATGGATCACCGTCTGATTGGTTACCGTTTAAAGATCTTTTCCGCTCGTTGGTTATAGATAATCCGACGCTTTCTCCAGTAGAGAAATTACAATATTTGAAAACGAGTCTGACCGGCACCGCGGGTCATATGTTAAGTAATACTGCATTAACTGCAGATAATTTTTCTAAAGCTTGGGAATCTTTAATATTATTTTATGAAAATAAGAGACTCTTAGTCAATGCAGCATTGAGTTCTTTATTCAATTTAAAACGCATGACCAGAGAATCATCAGCGGATTTGGAAAAATTGTATACTACTGTCACCCAAATTTATAGAACTCTGGAGACTTTGGGGAGACCAGTGAATTCCTGGGATGACTTTCTGATTTTTATAATGATTCAACGAATGGACTCTGAATCGGTTAAAGCATGGGAACAACATATTGGTTCATCGAGAGAGCTTCCCACTTGGAAGCAATTTATGGAGTTTCTCATCACTCGAGTAGTGACCCTACAAAATTATGAAAAGGCTCGTGCAGGTAAGCCTCTACAACCAAACCAAAGTACTATAAAAGCTCATTTTCAGGGCAAATTTAAGGATGAGAGCTCATCGTCATGCCCTTTTTGTTCTGAATCACATTGGCCGTACCATTGCCCTCAGTATAAATCAAAGACGCTACCACAACGCGTCGCTCTTGTAAAAAGACATAGGTTATGCTATAACTGTTTTGGACCACATCGAGCAGCTAATTGTCGAATGACAGTTCATTGTAAGAAATGTGCTGGTAAACATCACGTGTCGCTTCATCGTGGAAATTTTGATACTTCCAATTTTAAGGTGAGTCTGTCGAAATCTCAAAAAACAGAAAAGGTGGATGAATCTTCTGAAGTAGGTTCAGACGTAAATTCAAAAATAAAAGAATCTCAAGTTCTTCATGCCACTAGCCGAGAAATAATTAGTAGTCCAGGCGTGCTTTTGGCAACCGCTCTTGTTCTGGTTGAGTCTAGAAGTGGACAATCGTCCAAAGCTAAGGTTTTAATAGATCAAGGATCGGAAGTGTCCTTAATTACTGAACGGTTAGCCCAACGTTTACAGTTGTCTCGGACAAAGTCTCAAATTTTCCTGATAGGAATAGGCGGAAAGAAATCGAATAAAACTAAGGGTTTGACTTCTTTCCAATTAAAGCCACATTTTACTTCGACACTTGAATTTCCAGTAACTGCTCATATTCTTCCAAAACTTACAGCTGCTGTACCGTCCTTTTCAGTTAAAGGGTTTTCATGGCCTCACTTAAATGGATTACAATTAGCAGATCCCGAGTATTTTGTACCTAGTACGATTGACATTATCCTTGGAGCCGATGTTTACTGCCAAATATTACAGGAAGGCGTTATTAAAGGACCGCCTGGTTCTCCAATTGCGCAGTCTACCGGATTAGGTTGGATCATCTCTGGTCCTGTTTGCCCAATGACATCCTCATTGAAAGTTCATAGCTTCCATATATCGGTCGAGGATGATCTCTATGAGTTGATCCATAGATTTTGGGAGCTTGATGAAGTAGTTCCAGCAAAGGCGTCTATTCTTTCGTCCGAAGAATTAGCCTGTGAAGAGCATTTTGTCTCCACCCATTCGCGGAATAAAGATGGGAGATGCATAGTGAGGCTTCCCTTTTGTAAACCTGTTGAGCAGTTAGGCGACTCAAAGAAAAAGGCCACCCGCATGATGCTCAAGTTGTCTAATAAACTTTCTGTTAATTCTGAATACCTAAAATTGTATTCCGACTTTCTCGATGAATACGAAACACTGAAGCATATGCGGATTGTTTCTAATGATCTTCCCGAGCCAAATCATGCATTTTATCTTCCACATCACGGAGTACTAAAGGAACAGAGTCTTACGACCAAATTACGCGTGGTCTTCAACGGTTCTAGCGTTACCACTTCAGGCTTTTCGCTAAATGACTTATTGCATACAGGAGCTAAATTACAGACAGAGTTATTCGATGTTTTAATTTGGTTCCGTCGATTTAGATACGTCTTTTCATCTGACATAGAAAAAATGTATCGCCAAATTGAAGTTCACAAGGACGATTGGAACTTTCAAAGAATACTATGGTTTGATCGCTCACTCCAATTATGTACTTATCAGTTAACCACCGTTACCTATGGGTTGGCGTGTGCCCCCTTTTTAGCTTTGCGAACGATTCAGCAACTAATAGATGATGAGGGCCCACACTTTCCATTAGCGACTCCCTGTTTACGAAAAGGAAGGTATGTAGACGATCTCTTTGGAGGATCGGATACAATTGAAGAGACGCAATCTATTATAAATCAAGTAAAAATGCTTTGTATGGCGGGCGGCTTCAAATTACAAAAATGGTGCGCAAATAATCCAAACGTACTTCTCTCAGTTCCCAAAGAGGAACAAGTTTCTTCATTAGCTATTGACATTAATGATGGAGCTTTCGTTCATATTTTAGGACTTCGGTGGCAACCAACAACTGATACCTTTCAATTCACGTTTGATTATCAATTTGATGGTGAGATTACCAAGAGAAAGGCACTGTCGACAATTGCTAAGCTATTTGACCCCCTTGGTTTTTTGTCACCGATCCTCATCAATGCTAAAATCTTTATCCAAGAATTATGGGCAATTAAGGTAGGATGGGATGATCCTTTGCCTCCTCACATTGCCAATCAGTGGCACAACTTTGTAGATGAATTACAAGAAATACCACGGATTACCTTCCCTCGATGGATAGGCCTTACTGGTGAATGTCAAGTAGATCTTCACGGATTCTCAGATGCCTCGCAAAAGGCTATGGCGGCTGTAGTTTATCTTCGTATCATAACTACAGAAGGAAAGGTCATTACTAATTTTGTATCCTCTAAAACTAAAGTAGCTCCATTAAAACGTCTAACTATCCCTAGACTTGAATTGTGTGGAGCAGTCTTATTGACCAAGCTAGTCTCCCACCTTCTAACTGTGCTTGAATTAAGAAATCGGCCAGTCGTTTTATGGACCGATTCCTCGATTACCCATACTTGGTTAAATAACCACCCATCGAAATGGAAGGAGTTTGTTCACAATCGAGTTAGCTTCATCTAAGAGACTTTACCACAAGCTGAGTGGAGATTTGTATCGGGTCAAGACAACCCAGCGGATGTAGCTACTCGAGGACTTACGCCCTCTCAACTACTAAACTGTCCTAGTTGGTGGAACGGTCCTCATTGGCTATCGCAAGCAAGTACATCTTGGCCACATGGTCCTATACCCTCTTCTCAAGAAGGGAACCTTGAAGAAAGACCAGCGCAAACACATTCAATTCTAGCTAGTCCGGACAAGGAATGGGACCTTCTTCTAAGATATTCCAATTTAATGAAATTGTTCCGCATTACGGCTATCTGTCAACGTGCAGTTTCTAAGTTTCGAAAAATTCCACTAATGACCTTCTCACCATCTCTCACAACAGAAGAGCTAAATACTGCAAAAATATTCTGGGTAAAGGTCACTCAACAGCTGTTCTTCCCCACTGAGATTAAGGTTCTCTCTAAGGGACAACAGATTCCACGTTCAAGCCCTTTAATACGACTTACTCCCTTTTTGGATTCTTCTGGGCTGTTAAGAGTCGGCGGTCGCCTTCAAAATTCGCTTCTTAATGAAGCAGAGAAACACCCTCTTATTCTACCAAACAAGTCAGCCTTGACTTCTCTCATTATATCAGATGCTCATGTTCGAGCACTCCATGGAGGTACACAAGTCACACTATCTATTATTCGCAAAGATTATTGGCTTATTGGAGGTAGAACCCCTGTACGATCATGGATCCTCAAATGTGTTCCCTGTGCCCGGTTTCGGCAAAAAAGAGCTCAACAACTAATGGGGCAGCTTCCGTTAGAACGAATCACGCCTTCACGGCCGTTTGCACACACCGGTGTTGATTATGCCGGTCCCTTTACAACGAAAACTTGGAAAGGAAAGAATGCCCGCACCTATAAATCCTATATTGCTCTCTTCGTTTGTTTTGCCACGTCAGCCGTGCATTTAGAGCTTGTAACGGATTATTCAGCCGAAGCTTTCATCGCTGCCTACAAACGGTTCGTGTCAAGACGAGGAATCTGCACGACGCTCACCAGTGATTGTGGCACTACGCTCAAAGGAGCTGACGCTGAATTACAAAGACTTTTCTCTACTACCACGCAAGAGTCAACTAAGTTAGCACGACTTCTAGCAAATCATGGTACCCAATGGAAGTTTAACCCCCCTTCCGCTCCTCACTTTGGAGGGAAATGGGAAGCAGGGGTTAAATCAATGAAACACCATCTACTGAGGATTGTTGGTAATACTCTTTTAACCTATGAGGAAATGAGTACCTTATTAGCTCAGGTTGAAGCAATTCTTAATTCTCGACCCTTGAGCCCATTAAGCAATGATCCGGATGATCTTCTTGCTCTCACATCAGGTCATTTCCTCATTAGTTATGCACCGGTCACCATTCCAGAACCTTCTCTTGAATTGGTTAAGACTACCCATTTATTACGTTGGCAATTGATTCGCAAAATGCTAGAGTCATTCTGGAGCAGGTGGTCTCAAGAGTGTCTTCAAAGATACTATTCAATGTCTAAGTGGAACAATCAAGTTCCTTCGCTAAATATAGGAACGTTAGTTCTTATTATTGATGAACGATACCCCCCGTCAAAATAGCCCCTGGGGCGCATCATTGAAACCCATCCTGGAAGAGATGGACACACCAGAGTGGTCACAATTAAGACTCAATCCTCTATACTCAAGCGGCCTATTGTTAAGATTTGTCCCTTGCCTGTTGTGCAAGAGACCCTTTAAGTTATTCGTTAACTCTTATTAACGAAGGCGGGCGGGTATGTTGGAGAAGATGAGATTCAGCGAGTTACTACCAGTCGATAATTCGCTTATCGAGTCGGTCGCGAACCGATCCGTGTAGACAAACACGAACGCGTGCGGCGCTAACCCGCTACCTGTCTTTCTTGATACGCGCGCTTTTCGTATGCACCTTTTGTTTTTTAAGGCTCGTTTTTTGTTGTTGTTTAGCGTTGTCAAGGTATTTCAATTCAGGTGCCTTTATGTTATACTGAATCAATTTTAAGATAATTTGTGTAAATTCTATTCAAACGTATTGCATTTTTACTCATTAAACCGGTATTAGTCCTTTTACACGGCTTTTAAGGGGCTTTGAGCCCAATTGAGGCTTTTAGCCTATTATTAAAAGTCGCAGTCTTTTTCGTTTATAAAATAGTGAAACTTGTGAATATTCTTTATATTACGGCTTGCAGTCCGTGCATTATTGCCTGTATCACGGCGCGTAGTCCGTCTAGGCTTCCTTCTCAACGGCTAGCAGTCCGTACATTGAGATAACGTGTGATTTTCCTAATTTCCCAGTTCAAAGTTAGATTTCCGTATCAGGATCCTTCCAAATGGATGTCTGTTAATAAATATTCTCGGTGGATGACACAACCTTCAAAGATCAAGAAAATCAATGGAAACGAATGGACAGCGTCCTGTATATAAGGTTCAAATAATTCGTTACTTGTGATCTTCTAATCTTTCTTTTTATTGGTATTAATGTTGCATAATCTAAAAACTAACTTATTATTCTTTTAATATTTTCATTTCAGTGCAACCCGTGGTTTACTCTGTCGAAGAATTAAATTACATTAAGTAGCTATCGAACAATATTTAAATAAAATAAATAAATAAAATTATTAAACGTTAACTGATAAAAAACGTGTACAAGCCATCCGATTATTATTCGAATTATCCAATTCCGTAGCTTATGGTATTCCTTTGGCGTTCCGAGAACTTCCAACGTGTGGTCTACTATAGTAAGTTCATGTAAATACGTTTTCAATTCCTTTAAAAAAATTATATTGAACGATTATGCGGCACAAAGAAATTATTGTAATTTTATATTAGAGTAAAAATTGTTATTGCAATGTTTACACGGAATGCGACAGATAAAGTGTTACATTATAATAATGTGAAGATTAAAATTGATCTGTTAAAAATACTTTTTTTTTTTAATTTAAGTTAGTTTAATACAAAATGCTGTGGAAAAGATTACATGCTAACACAGCATTAAACATAAATATATAATATGTTAGATAAGACTATAGTAGCTTGCAAATGGTGTTAGGCGTCAGCAAATCTACAATTACAAAGCCTTCCAGCAACAAAAAACCGCGACTAATCAACGATACATGAGTGGTGAAACAATAGTTAAAATCATATACATACTCACGCATACACACGCAAGCACCTACATATACCAGTCATGTCAGTCTCGTTTAAATATTGTGAGTGACGCGATGAAACGAGAGGCAGCAGAACAAAAGCAGGACAAAGAGGGAGATGTTTTTATTAATACAGTAAGAGAATTACAATATTTGACTGAGGTAGGAGAAAGCAGCACGGAACTTAGTGGAACGATGAATGGGAAGGATAAGTAATTTTGGTATCTGGTTACAAGGGGTTAAAAATGAAATGAAGCTCAGAGTTCAATTGAAGCCATTATCACCTATTATTGCTGACAGTTATGCAACAAGATTTAGAAAATCGAGTGCTGATTTTCATTGAATTCCTTTTGCTTTTCTACTACAGGTGCTATGTTTACCGTCCACTACTGAGGTGGATAGCATCTTGGAAAAATTCAACTCTTTTCACCAGAGACTGCAGTTTACGATGGATGTGTGGAGTAATGCCATTAATTTTTGAGACACTACTGTTCTTTTAAAGAGTGACGGTATAATTTTTGACTAGTACAAAAAACCAGGGTTGTTAATGTTACATAAAAAAGCAACGAAGTTACTAACTCCGTTACATTTTTAGTATCGAATGAGTAACGGAATTACTTTTACAAATGAGTAACAGTAATGATAACTAAATCACAATTTTCAGGAACTAATAACGAAATTTTACGTCTTTTTTTCGGTATTCCGTTTATATAGGATTATTTTAATAAGGACTCGTTTACACCTTGACGAAAAAGCAGAAAGCGGTAAAGCAGTGGCTAATCAGAACTCTCTCTGGAAGAAAGTAATACAAAAAGTCAAAATTGACGGCACTGCCTAACAGACGGACATATTGAGTAACAGTTACCTCTATTATTAAACAAAAATTCCAGATTTAGAGATACAAATTATTTATAACCTAAAGTTAAGATATATGTACAAATTTAAATATGTACATATCAAAGAGTATCATATTAAACAGCAAATGAAGAACTAATAAAATAAAACAACAATATATATTAAAAAACGATTTGTTCTTATGTAGTTATAATTAGCATAAATGCAATCATTTTTTAAAAATAACGAAAGAGTAACGATTTTTCCATTACTTTAAGTGACAATAACGCTTTACTTTTAGAATCGGTAACGAGTAAAGAGTAACGAATTACTTTTTACCGCAAATAACAATAACTGTAACGCGTGTGTGTGTGTGTGCGTGCGTGTGTGTGTTACTAAAAAACGGTAAATTTAACAATCCTGCAAAAACACCCACCTTTTCGGGCAGATTTTTGAATTATTGATCTCACAATAAGATTCCACAAAAGAAGGGCATCATCGAAAGAGTTTTTATTTCTCACGTTCAGAATTTTACAAAAAAAATTTTAATTTTTTGATTAAAATTGTATCAGAAAATGACTATCCGTTGAAATTTATTTTTGAAGCATTGTCTGATAGGATAAAAAAATTAATTGAAAAATCCAGTTATAGTTATAAGATTTCTACTAACAAAATTAAAAAAGAACAAATCAGATGATTTACAATTCCTTCCATCAATGGAATATCGAATAAATTCTGCAAATTTATTAATGAGCTGTATTATAGGGTTGCTCATTATAGTATCAATAAACTTAACAAATTTATTACAATACACAAAGATCCTTTGCAAAGATTTTCCAAAAGGAATGTGATTTACGAGATCGAATGCGATCGTAATTGCGATTTCTATATAGGCCAAATGGGAAGAAAACTAAAAACGAGATTAGCAGAACACCGTAACCATATACGTAGATTTACATCCACTCGTTCAGTTATCACAGAGCATAGGGTGTATTGCAATCATGACTTCGACTGGGATAATGTGAGAATTCTGGATACTGAGAGAAATTATAATAAACGAACAATGTCGGAGATACTCTACATAAATCGCCAATCAAATTGTCTCAACATTCAAACTGACACTGAGGCATTAAATTATGGTTACATAGAAATTCTCAACAAGTTATAATATGTTTATTTTTATAATTGACCGACAGGCTTCTATTATGACGGCACATCTCTTTTTGTTTTAAGGTTACTATGTAACCAACATCGGAACAAACATGACAGTCTTTTTTGGATCTTAAATTATTTTTAATCGCACATTGATAATCGTGAATCTTAAATTTGTTTAATGGGTTGATAATGTTTGGATTCGCGTGCGATCATGTTGGAGGTGGGGTGAGTTTTTACCATTATTTATAAATAACATAAAATTAATCTCTATCTGTCCAAAAAATCTTGATACAAATAATATCTTGAGATCCACCATTTGCTGCACTCAGCTCTGCAACTGGTTGGCACAACATCAGACTATGTTGAGGATGGTTGTTTCTCACCGCATTTCCACTGCGCCTGCAGTGGAGGGAACTCCAATTATGCAGGCGCATAATTTAATGCCTCAGTGTCAGTTTGAATGTTGAGACAATTTGATTGGCGATTTATGTAGAGTATCTCCGACATTGTTCGTTTATTATAATTTCTCTCAGTATCCAGAATTCTCACATTATCCCAGTCGAAGTCATGATTGCAATTCACCCTATGCTCTGTGATAACTGAACGAGTGGATGTAAATCTACATATATGGTTACGGTGTTCTGCTAATCTCGTTTTTAGTTTTCTTCCCATTTGGCCTATATAGGAATCGCAATTACGATCGCATTCGATCTCGTAAATCACATTCCTTTTGGAAAATCTTTGCAAAGGATCTTTGTGTACGATTTTGTGATATACAGATCAACATAGTATTTAGCGCGATTAGCGATAATTATTACTGAGACTGGCTCAAAACGTAAGCCGAAACGTACAAAATGTCACGAGTGCGATATTGCACAAGTGACCATTGCGCCACGATACGCGTTTAGCTTACACGAACGAAATCATATTATTTAAAATAAGATAAACAATAAAATTAATTTAAAAGACGACCCTGAAGGCAAATAAATTCGAAACAAAAGAAAACGCTAACTCAGATGTTTACGCGGCCTCGTCCGATAAGCGGAACGCTGACGGATCAGCGCGGACGGTCC